TTATAGAATTCTGCTGTGAATCCATCTGGTCCTGGGCTTTTTTTTGTTGGAAGACTTTTGATAGCTTCCTGTATCTCATTATAGGATATTGGCTTATTTAATTGGTTAACTTCTTCTTTGCTCAGTTTGGGTAACTTGTATTTCTCTAAAAATGCATCCATTTCTGCCAGATTTTCTTCCTTTAGAGAGTATAGCTTTTGAAAGTAGTCTGTTAGAATTGTTTGGATATCTTGGGTACGTGTTGTGATGTTTCCCGTGGCATCCCTAATCCTATTAATATGGGTTTCCTCTCTTCTTTTTTTAATTAATCTTGCCAACGGGCCATCAATTTTGTTTATTTTTTCAAAGAACCAGCTTTTTGTTTGGTTTATTTTGGTTATGGTTTTCTGATTTTCTAATTGGTTAATCTCTGCTCTCAATTTGGTTATCTGGCTTCGTCTAGTAGCTTTAGGTCCCATTTTTTCTTGTTTTTCTAGCTGTTTTAGTTGCAACATGAGATTATTTACTTGGTCTGTCTCCATTCTCTTGATGTGGGCACTGAGGGCAATAAATTTGCCCCTCAGGACTGCTTTTGCTGTGTCCCACAAGTTTCTTTGTGAGGTGTTTTCATTTTCATTGAGTTGTAGGAAATGCTTTATTTCTTCTCTGATCTCTTCTGTTACCCAGGCATTGTTAAGGAGTGTGCTGTTCAATTTCCATGTATTAGAGAAATTTCTGCGGTATGCTTTGTTATTGAGAGCTAGCTTGATTCCACTGTGGTCAGATAGGATACAGGGGATTATGTCGATCCCTTTGTATTTGCTTAAGTTCCTTGCATGAACTATGATATGGTCTATTTTGGAGAAAGTTCCATGAGCTGCTGAGAAGAATGTGTACTGTGTTGTTTTAGGGTGAAATGCTCGGTAGATGTCAGTTAATTCTGCTTGAAGTATGGCCTCACTTAATTCGGTAGCTTCTTTGCCAATCCTCTGGTTGGTAGACCTGTCCTTTGGTGAGAGTGACGTGTTAAAGTCTCCTAGTATTATCGTATTGGGATCTATTTTATTCTGTAAGTTTGAGAGCATTTGTTTGATATATCTGGGTGCACCGATATTTGGGGCATATAAGTTGATGATGGTTATATCCTCCTCTTGGATTGTTCCCTTTATTAATATGTAGTGTCCGTCCTTGTCTTTCTGTACTGATTTTAATGAAAAGTTTATTTTGTCAGATATCAGGATAGCTACACCTGCTTTCTTACTGGGGGCATTTGATTGGTAGATCCTTTTCCACCCCTTCACTCTGAGTTTGTTTGTATGTTTGGCTGAGAGGTGGGTCTCCTGAAGGCAACAGATGGATGGGTCTTGTTTTCTGATCCAGTCCTCAGTTCGTTTTCTTTTAATTGGCGAATTCAGCCCATTTATATTAAGAGAAAGTATAGAGAGATGCATTGTTGTCCCTGCCATTCCGTTTTCCTAAGTTTTTCTTCTTTCCTTTCCTCCTGTGCTTGCTCAGTTAGACTTTGAGTAATGCCTGTTTGGGGCAGGTCCCAGTTCCTGGTTGCTTTCTTCAGGTTGTGTTCCCCCTCTTAGAATTCTTTGTAATGCTGGCTTAATGTTTATGTATTCATTTAGTTTTTCTTTGCTATTAAAAGTTTTCAGTTCTCCATCGAATGTGAATGCTAGCTTTGCCGGGTATATCAGTCTGGGTTGGCAGTTATTGGCTCTCAGGGCTCATATGGTGCTTTCCCAGGCTTTTCTTGCATTCATTGTTTGTGTGGAGAGATCTGCAGTGATTCTAATTTTTTTCCTGTTGTAGTATAGCTCCTTCTTCATTTTTGCTGCATGCAGGATTGTTTCCTTATTATTCAGATCTATCATTTTTACTATAATGTGTCTAGAAGTGTTTCTCCTGGGATCTTGCTTGTTGGGTGTTCGATAAGCTTTTGTGATGTAGTTAAGATGGTCGTTTTTGAGGTGGGGAAAATTTTCATTGATTATCTTGTTAAATAGGTGTTGCATTCCCTTGCTCTGGAATTCCTCACCTTCGTCCACTCCGATTATGCGAAGGTTAAATTTTTTAGCATTATCTGCTTGCTCTTGAATTTCCCTTTGGTTTAATTTGAGTGATTTTTCCATATCTGTCACTTTTTGGTCCAGTTGGTGTATTCTGTCTTCTGTATCTGACACTCTGCCTTCCATTTCATTCACTCTGTTGACCGTGGCTTCTATTGTGGTTTGCATGGAGGAGATGGATCCCTTTATAGATTCAATGTTGGTTCTCAGAGTACTGATCTCACCTCTCAATGAGGTGAGATCAGTATGCATTACCTCTAATTTGGCGTTTATCTCACTTCTTACTGAGGTTTGTGCAGCTTCTATTTTTGCATCCAACTTTTGTTTGATATCCTGTATATCTTTTGATAGTTCATCCTTGTGCTCTTTCAATTTCTGATCCATTTCTCGCTTTATTTCTTGAGTCATTGCCTCCAGCAACCCTTGGATGTAGCTTTTGTCTTCCATTCCTGCTTTGCTCCCACTGGGGCTCTCCCCTGCGTGGCTGCTGGCTTTTGAGGTGAGCTTGCTGTCCTGGGTAGTGGTAAACCTTGTGATTTTTCTCTGTGATTTTCACATGGAGGAAGACTGCTCTTCAATTTTGTTTTGGTGTGTCTGTCTTTGCTTGGTTGCTGATTCTGTATTGGTAGAGAGAGTCTGTGCCTGATCTGGGTTCTGTTGGGAGCCTATTTCCAGCTGCTATTCTGACTTACTTAGGATTCTCAGCTCTCTGCTGTAGATTGCTGGCAATTCCCGCCTTTGGAAGGGTTGAGCAGCCTAGACTGCTTGTGTTTGCTCCTATGGGTGCTCTTGGGAAGATCAGATGCTCTGGATGCACTCTCCCAAATACTGGAGTCTGCTATAGGCTCCTGATGTGTTTTTGTTTGTTTGTTTTGGGCTGGTTGTGGGCTTGAACTCTAGGTTTGGGTGCTGTCCCTCAGCTCTTCAGCTCAAGGCTGGCACCCTACCATTTGAGCCACAGCACCACTTCTGACCCTTTTTGCTTTTGTGATGCTGAGGAATCAGATCCAGGGCCTTGTACATCCAAGCCTATCACTCTATTGCTGAGCCGCCTTATCAGCCTGAGCTCCTGCTTACTATCAGGTGCTGGCAGCCTGTGTTGCCCAATTCCCAGCCTAGGGTATATGGGTGGAGTTTTGGTGGGGTTTGGGCTTCTCTTGTCCTGAGCCTCCAGGTCTTTTGTTGTCACAGGCATGCTTCCCGGGGAGTGTTGTTTCCTGGTTTTCTCCCCTCTGTTGAGGCGTATGCTCAGCTTTTTACTTCAGTTGGGAGGAGTTGGTTGTGTTGTTCAGGCGCCGGTCCCGGGCATGGTTCCGGCCCCAGCCTGGAGCGCGCTCGTTAGGCCTGTGCTGATGTGTATACCACCTAGGTTATGCAGCCTGGAGGACACAGTTCAAATTTCTTCTACTGTTGGTAGTCTTGACCCAGGGGCGCTGTTCCTGGCTTGGGCATTTAAGCTCCCTTCCAGGGGCGCTCTTGCTCTGGCCTGGCCAGCAGAGTGTGCTCCACCGGCTGGTGGAGCTCTCGAACAGTTCCCAGTTTTAGTGGGTCCTATGGTCCAGGTGTTGGGGTAGGGAGTCTAGGTCAGGGTCTGGGGATTCCCTCCAGCTCTGGTCTCCCTTGAGGGATACACTGTCCCCTGTGGGGTACTCACCCTGGAGCTGGTTGTTTCTGTGTGGTGTAGGTCGTCAGTTGTTGTTGCAATCCGAGTTCAGTTGGGGTGGTTGCGGGCTGGGTTGGGCGGCCCCCGCCGGGTCGTTGCGATCGCGATTGGGCGGGTGGTCTGCCAACAGGTCCCTTTGTCACGCTGCTGGTGTGCTGCTGGTGCCGGGCGGCTTTGGCGGGATGGAGCCTCTCCGCTCCGGTAGAGAGTGAGGGGTGGGGGTGGGATCCTCCCGGCTGGTAGGTTTCTCTGTTCCTGGCGATCCGCTGTTCTGCAATCTGGTACCTGGTGATCTGCAAGCAGCCTCCTGTATCTCTAGGGCTCCTGGATGATTCTTTTTATCCTGGAAGCTGAACTGTCTCAATCCTGGAAAGGCTCTTTCTTATTCTTGGAGAATACCCCTAGCACAGTACCTATCTAAGGTACGTAAGTATCATAGGCACTTAATATTTGTTGAGTGAGTCTTTGTTGCCTCAGGCATGCATTCTTTGGGAGCCTGTCTGCCATTACTCATCTACTCACTGCCTCTTGAGCAAGCTTTATCATCCAGAGTACTTGTGCTCAGTGCTAACAGAACACAAAAGTAAATTATAGTCTCTTATTAAAGGAATTTTTATACCAATAGCCATTCTTTTTGTGTATATCCTAATTCTCACAGGAATGAAATCATAGATAATTGGACAATTATGTAGCTCTTGTCAGTATGTAGCTCTTATCAGAACACTGTCTCTTACACCTTGAAAACATTTGTAGCATTCATTAGTGAATTAGCACTTTTATTATTCAGCACTGATGAATGAAATTGAAAGATACTTAATAGCAGTAGTAATTAGGAAAGACATAATAAGAGAACATCCTCTGTCCAACAGAAAGGCAGAGTGTAAGAATCCAGGCAGTACTTTGTAAAGGTAAAACTCATGTGCTGAGCTGAGGACTGTGAATTGGTACCATTTAAAGAAAGAAGCTTGAAAATACTTGGATCACTGAAGATGCACAGTCCGAGAGGCTCTCAAGAACATGATTATTTCCCCAGCAACATTAAGGAGCTCTGCCTAAGAGAGGTCACTGCATCCTCCTTTGTAAAAAACGTAGAAGCAGAGAATAAACATTGAACTGAAGTGGGAAGAATAAAGGACATTTGCCAGCATGGGTAAATAAATCTCAAAACGAATATTGAAAGAATAATTGTAAAGGGATTTGTGCATTGTAATTCCTTTTAAAGTTTCAAATACACATAAGCCAATATAAAAATAGAAATCGTTTCACTTTTTCCTGTGTCACAGATTGCAGCAGAGAATATTGGAAGTGAATTACCACCCAGTGCCACTCGGTTTAGGCTAGATATGCTGAAAAACAAAGCAAAGCGATCTTTAACAGAATCTTTAGAAAGTATTTTATCCCGGGTAAGTAGCTTAATTTTCTTGTAATTTAGATTAAATCGCTTTTTTAGGAGAGCCTAAGATTTAATTCTATGCCTTTAATATACCAGCTTTAATCATTAAATATAAAAATATAAATCCTAAAAGTATACATAAATCCTTTTTTATGTTTAGTCTTAGAGCAATGATATTATATAGCAGAGGCTGGCCTTGGACTCTTGATCCTCCTGCCTCCATCCCTAGAGTGCTGCTCTACTCTTGCATTCTATCTCTTTGGATTTGTTTTGTATTCCGAAAGAGTGTTGCTCATTGGCCAGTCCATATAGAGAGCATAGATTGCATAGGCCATGGTATGGTCTTGGTTCTCCCTGGTGTCACTAGGGACAATGTTTTAAAAGCCAGTAACTTCCAGCTGTTTTTCTTAGCAGTCTGGAACTTTTTATAGCAGAGCTTTATAAACTGTTGGATTCCTGGACCAATTTCCACACACTTTCAATTGTTTTGCAAACAATGTTTTATTAAAACATAGTTGCATCCATTCATTTACTTCTTGTTTAAGGCTGTTATTATGCAAAATTGAGTACCTGTCACAGGTACCACGTGGTTCATGAAACATAATATTTATGCTATAGGAAGAACAAAGTACAAAACAGGTGTCATCTTCAGAGTTGTCAGAAAGGACACCACCATTCCTTCATGCCTTGATGGTTGGCACATCTGAAAAAATGAAAGTTCAACTTTCAGAGTTTCATACCTTTTTGGAGGCTGCCATATATCATTATAGTTTTTTTAATGACACATTCCCTTTGAAACATAGGTGTTATCTAGTTTAAAAAGAAAGTTAAGGGGCTGGGAAGGTGGCTCAGTGGTAGCGCGCTTGCTTTGCATGCATGAGGCCCTGGGTTCGATTCCTCAGCACCACATAAGCAAAAAGAAAAAGGCCAGAAGTGGCTCTGTGGCTCAAGTGGTAGAGCGCTAGCCTTGAGCTGAAGAGCTGAGGGAGAGCACCCAGGCCCAGAGTTCAGACCCCACGACTGGACCCAAAAAAAAAAAAAAGAAAGTTAATTTTTGTTTGATATTTCTGAACTTTGAAATATATTACAAGAAATTTAAAATAGCACATTTAAAAAAACAGAGGAGGAGGGGCTGCTTTTGAGAGCTCAGAGAGGGCTAGAGAGAGTGACATATAGGGAGAGTGGTGGCCGTTTAATTTCTTATAACTTGGGGGACAAACTGTTGAGTGGGCTTACTTGAATTTCTACTTTTCCTCATAGATTTGTCTCTTCTTCCCGCCTATTATCTTTATCAAGTGACTGATCCATAAGAAATTTCGGAATATTTAGTATGGTATAATCTTTAAACAAACAATGACAGAAGAGTGATTGTTTTAATGTATATGTATATCTAGCAATAGTCTCAGATTACTTAAATAGATCAAGCTGACTCTGCGTATGGTTCTCCAAAATCTGCAGAGTCCTAAATGAACTACATTGTCTTTATGTAGGGCAATAAGGCCAGAGGCCTGCAGGAACATTCCTCCAGCGTGGATCTGGACAGCTCCATGTCTAGCACATTAAGTAACACTAGCAAGGTAAGTACATTTTACCTTTCTCTTTTTATAACACCCCCAGGATCAGGCCAACAGCCTCTCTATCTCTAAGGCTCTGTCAGAAAGCACAAACGCCTAATACCTCTAGTCATAAAGTTTGGTACTTCTAGACCTTTGGTTAGCTAGCTCTATTTTAAAATAGAAGCTTTATAAAAAGTAAGTGGCCATACCATAAACAAAGAAACAAGGTTATATTCTTAGACAACTAAGATCTAATTTGTAGCAGAATAACCAGTGGATTTTCCACGCATACACGTGTGTGTATGTGTGTATTAGTTTTTTGGTGGTAGTGGGGTTTGCACTCAAAGCCTCAGGTACTCTTCACTTGAGTCACATTTCCACAGTAGATTTTTTTCGTTAAATAAAAAATAGTTAAAGTTGGGCTAACTACAAAAGGGGGGTTGCGAATTTAGAGAAGGATGCAGTGTTATCCTTTAGCTGGTTCCATCTTGATTCTTAATGCTTATGCATTTAGTAGTGAGAGAGTACCTTAGAAAAACAGTAGATTCCATTTGAATACATTTTGCAGTGTGTAAAGTATTGTAACAATTCTGGAAATGGTGAGATAAATTTTCACTGTGCCCTTACAGAAGAGGAAAGTGCGATGCAGAAAGATGTTAAGTGAGTTCTGTCTAGGAAGACATTTTTCTGTACTTAATAAAGGATAGTTTTAGCCCCAATATTAACAACTTTAGAAAGAGCTTTCAAATGTAATAGACTCGGAATAGCGAACTAGTTATGTAGCATACATATTTTTATAAGCAGTAGTAAATATCTCTTTTTCAGAGAGAGGGATTTTTGCAATGCTAGGGATTGAACTCAGGACCTTGTACATGCTAGATAATTGCTCTACTGTTGAACTACACTTCCAGCTATGAGAGGGGAGTCTTTATGGCATCACTTGAAAACAATTATATGTCATGGCTTGTGTCCTTCATTCTTGTATTTGAACAACTTTCCTAATCCTCCACTAGCATCTTTCTCTGGCTGTCAGGTATATAATGGACCTTTATGTTTTTGGTGGGCCCTTGGTGGCATTCTAATAAGTACCTGTATATTAAAATGTATTCCTGGCCAGGTGCCATAGTTCATGCTGGGAATCATTCATTACAGCAGAAAAACCTCAGTGTGGTGATATATATTTGCCATTCCAGCTATGTGGGAAGTATAAGTAGGAAGACTGCAGACCAGGCTGGCCCAGGCAGAAATCAGAGGCCTTCTCAGAAATAACCAAAACAAAACAACCCAAGCACAGTGATTCAAACTTACAATCCTAGCACTTGGGAGATGGAGATTGGGGATTGAAATTTTTTTTTGGGGGGGGGGAGATTGAAATTTTGAGGCCAGCCCCAGCAAAAAGTTTTTCAAGACTCTTATCTCAGCCAGGGTAGTACGTTTTTCATCCCAGCTCAAAGGCAAGCACAAATAGAAGGAACATTGTCTAGGCCAACCAGACCAGAATAACACAAAACTATAGCTCCAAAAAAAAAAAAAAAAAAAAAAGAAGCCGGGTGCCAGTGGTTCATAATCCTAGCTACTCAGGAGGCTGAGATCTGAGGATCATGGCTCAAAGCCAGCCTGAACAGGAAAGTCCATGAGACTTATTTCCAATAAACCACCAGAAAACCAGAAGTGGTGCTGTGGCTCAAGTGGTAGAGCGCTCACCTTGAGCTGAAGAACTGAGGGACAGCACCTAGGTTCATAGTTCAAGCCCCACGACTGACCAAAAAAAAAGTCTTGGACTGCGATTAGAAGTTTTTCACTTCCCCCAGATTCCCCTGTGTGACTTCCAACCTACTGTCTGTCTGCTGCCAGGAGCCATCCATGGGTGACAGGGATGCCATGCCTAATTCTGAGAGCTCCTTCAAGCTCCTCAGCTCCTCGGATGACCTGTCCAGTGACTCGGAGAGCCACCTCCCAGAAGAGCCTCCTGCCCTGCTGTCACCCCAGCAGGCCTTCCGAAGACGAGCGAATACCCTGAGCCATTTCCCAGTGGAGGGCCCGGAGTCTTCGGAGCCTGTGCAGGGATCTCCAGGAGTCTCTCAAAGAAAACTTTTGAGGTATCACTCCGTGAGCACAGAGACACCTCATGAACGAAAGTAAGAGTTGATTAGAGCACAAAATTTGCTGTGCAAATACCTTGGATATATCTGTGACTAACCAGGGTGTATGTGTGTGTGTGTGTGTGTGTGTGTGTTGCGCGCATACTGGGTGTGTGTGCGTGTGTGGTGTGTGTGCGCGTGTGCTGGGTGTGTGTGTGCGCGTGTGTGTATGCGCGCACGCATGCTGGCTGTGCTTACTGAGTCAGGTTTTACGGATGGCAAGATAAAACTGGAAGCCGTAGTGTGTTCTTCCCAGCTCCCTTAGGATGTATATAGACAGGAGATGATTGCTGCTTGTTCAGGTTCCAGCATTGTCAGGAAGCAGGTAAATGAGCAAAAATGGCACTTGGCTTGTATAATTACATGTCAGACAAGAGAGAGCTTGGCTGCCAGCCTCGGGAAGGGGGAGGGGGTGCGAGTGTGTGGAGGCTCATCATTTAGAAATCTGGAACTGAGCCTCTGTGGAGTGGGGACACAGTATCCCCACAAGCAAAATGGCCTGCTATGGACAGCTGGGCTGGACCCAGAGCTGGGCTCGGGTCTGGCTCTATTTTGAGCTACTTGTGACCTGGCTTATATCTGTTGAAGGCTCAGTAGGGAGAGCATTGTAGTTGATGTTCTTCAAATCTTTCACTGTGGGAATTCTATGTTCTTCTAAAAGATTTAATCACTTAGTAATTGAGCTCAAATGAATAGTTGGTATTTTCTGATTATAGTGAGTAGTATGATGGCAGTTTTTCCTGTTCCTTCTAAAGTCCCTTAGTGATTAAACTGTAAATGGACACGGAATATATTAAAAACAATTAAATTTCCTCATCTCATAAGTGTGAAATAGGGCCACACCCAGGTGTGGTGACTTTCTTCTTCTGCCATAGGTAGAAACCTCAGGATATGCTTGTTATATATGTGTAGTTCATAAATGAGGAGTGAGTCTGTGCATCAAGTGTTTAGAATGCTTTGAGAGAAGGGGCTCATCTACCAGTCTGGAATTATAAAGAAGGACCTGGCTGCTTATTATCTCTTGGAGATCATTACTGTTGTTTGAAACTCAGTTAGATAACATCACAGAAGCAAGACTTCCTCCAGAAGCTGGTTTAAATTGGCCATCTTATTGCTGCATAGTGTGGCTGCAGTTGAAGTTTCTTGTCAAGTTTCTTAGTGCCTCGCTGTATCCCCACTGCAGGCCCAGTCCTCTGCATTTGCAGTATAGTGGAATGCTCCATTAGAGAGGCCTGGTTCTCTTGTCAAATATAAGCCACAGTGGTAACACTGTCCTTGCTTTCCCTTTATCCTCTAAGAATGTAGCTTTGTAATGGATTGTGTTGGACCTTAGTGATGATGGATGGGGACTTGTCTCTGTGTATGTATGTCTCTCTACTGCGGCCATTTTGCTTTCTCCCCCAACCCCCATACCTTTTCTCATTTATTCACAGGAAACAAGGCATTAAGTTTAAGCAAAATATTCTTCTTTTAAAGGAAAATGTATTTTTAAAATTTTGAAAAATTTTCTTTTGTTTCTATTCTAGTTAAATATTTTAGCCTCTCAATTCCCAGAAAGGGATTGAGAAAAAGTATTAATACATTAATTAAAATCTATAATGAAAAGATAGACGAGGGAAACTGTTGAGAATGCCTTCTAATTCTATTTTCCCTGAAAACTGCCTTTGCCAATGAGAGCGAGTGGGAAGGAAGTCTTTGGATTCCCTGATAGCTCATGAGACACAAAGGATTGAGTCTCTGTTTTCTTCCTCCTTTCCCCTCAGCTTCAAAATGGTCTCCTCTATTTCCTTCCCTTCCTTTTCCCCTTCCCCTCTAACCCCCAGTGCTCTTTCCTGTTGCTCCTTAGCGAGGACCATCCTGTGGGCGAGTCTAAGCATTGCTCAGGTCAGCCTTCAGCTCCTGCTCCTCTACCTCGTCTTAACCCCTCTGCCTCCTCGCCAAACTTTTTAAAGTACCTAAAGCATAATTCCAGTGGAGAGCAAGGTGGGAATGCTGTGGCGAAGAGGTGAGCATCTCGTATGGCAAGTTCAGTGTCATTTGTCACGTTGGGAGTTCACACCCAGTTCATCCTGCATGGGGGCCAGGTTGGCAGCCCCTGTGCTGCTTGTGTGTATGTTTTTGGTCTATCATATCTATCTGATATATAAATTGACTTAATCTTACTCATAACATCCTTTAAAATAAAGAGTCTTGATGGTAAGCCCTTTTATTTACTAATTTTCACACCTCACATTAGTGTGTGTACCTACATGTGCATGTGCACAGGTTAACAGCTGTTTGCTATTGTACACTTTCATTTGCATCTCATCTGAAACCCCCAATTACTTTAGAAAAATCATCTTTTTCCAGTTTGGAAAGAAAAGTCATTTAGAATATGTAATGTTTTTTTAAACATGTACACATAAATTGCATGCCTTTATAATCAAGTCTTTCTGAGCACTGGTAACTTGACTCATACCTGTAATCCTACCTACTTAGGAAGCTGAGACTTGAGGATTGTAGTTTGAAGCCAGCCCAGAGAGGAAACTCTGTGAGACTCCTTATCTCCATAAACACCAAAAAAAGCCAGAAATGGAGCTGAGGCTCAAGTATAGAGCGCTAGCCCTTGAGCAAAAAAATCTCAGGTATTGCACCCAGGCCTTGAGCTTAAGCCTGGGATTGGCATATACCTATAAAAAAAAATCTAGTCTTAATATTGACTGAAAATGAAATTTAATCTCATTTGTGAACTATTTTAACTTCTTACTTAGTTTACTTTTCTTAGCATTAGGACAAAAATGTTTAAACTTATATTTTTTACTTTGTGTGTTTATATTTCTTGATCCTAAAGTATTTTTTCAACCAAACTCTCAGCATCTCCTACCGTAATGCCCTGCGGAAAAAACTTCATTCTTCTTCCTCTGTGCCAAATTTTCTAAAATTTCTGGCTCCTGTAGATGAAAATAACACCTCTGACTTTATGAACACAAAAAGGTAGGGCTTCATTCACATACATCAAACCTGGATGTTGAAAGTGTCGGATTATTGTTAAATATATGGTGATATTTTAACTGTTCTTTTGCCATTTAGAATATTATTTGATTTAAATGTATTGTATCTCTTTTCTTGCTTTTTTTTTCTTACTGAATGTCATTTTAAGGGAAATGGACCATCAACCTGTTCTCTAGTTTTGACTTTGGTTAGTTTCTGAATATTATCTTTCGTAGGCTAAAGGAAGTCTAGTGCTCTGAGAGTAATGTTCCTGGGTAATAAGCTTATGGTTGTCCTAAATAAATCATGGTTGTTAATCTACCAGTTGGGCTGATTGCTTCATTATTGATACATACTTGGGGATAAATTACATACAAAGGCCTCCTTAAGTTATTCTGTGAAGGGGAAGAAAATTAATGATTAGACTGTATTTATATATGTTAACAATTATACTTCAAAGTTCCTAAAATGATAAATGTTTAAGAAGCCATAATCAGCAAGTAGCTGTTATCGTTGTCTTTTATAGTTCATTATAATTAAACTAACTTTTTAAAAATTCTGGTCATCATGGAGATCAGAGCCTGTATTGAGAAAATATTCCCATACAGGGCTAAGGTAGATTGGTCCTGGTGACTGCAGACCCGTTAGGCAGTTTTTCTTGCAGCAGCACCAGCGAAGACCAATTGGAATCTGTGGTCTGTGAACGTATTTCTTAGGAATCACTTACAAATGTGTAGTTTTGCTCTTTCTATGGGAAACTTCTTGACAGAGAGCAGATCTTTAGGAACACTGATCCACTGTGAGCTGAATTCAATCTCTCTGATTAATTATGTGTGTTTATGCAAAAATAATTCATAATTAAAAGTGCTTTCTTTTTTAAAGTCAAGCTAAAAAGAAACCATTAATATCTGCTTGCCGGTCATACACCAATGATCTTGCACTTTTAGGGACTATGAATCCAAAGCGAACAACTTTGGTGACTCGGACACGACCCCTGTGAAGACCCGGCGGCATTCATGGCGCCAGCAGATCTTCCTCCGCGTGGCCACACCACAGAAGGCCTGTGATTCCCCCAGCAGATATGATGGTGAGTTCACACACCTTCACAGAGGCTCTAGGGTACCCTGCTATTGACCAGAAGCTGGAAAACGTGTTTCCTCCCCACTGGAAGGTCTGAGTGGTCACACTCCAGATAGCTTTGGACCATAGTCTTCCTAATTGCCTCTTGAATAGCTGAGATTACAGGCATGAGCCATCACATCTGACTATTTGTGAGCATTCTAACATCTAGATCTGCCTTCAGTCTGTATGTTCCCTTCTCCTCCCACATTACTTAACCTTGGGATTCGAATATGTGACTTTTCTTCTCCCAAAGCAGGTCCCTGTCCTCTGTCATTGTCACTTCCCATTCTTAGGACACACAGAGGCCCTAGGCCTACTATTGTGGTCAGTATCTGCTTTGTCCACTGTTCCAGCAGAGCAGGCACTGCTAGAAGTATGCCAGGTCTTTGTTTCCACCCTGCCATAGCAGCCAACATGTAGGTGGCAGAGATGTCCACAGCCAGATGGCCGGTCCCCGACTCTGACTTGAGCATTAAAGTCATGCAAGTGCTTTGGGAAGAAACACTCTTCACAGGGCCTTGTAACCCTCTGTTGAGATGCACAAAGTGACTGACTATTCTGGTTTATATTCTGATGGTGTAGACTTCAGTTAAGCAGTTACAAAGTGAGACTGGGAGCTTTTCACTCCTCCATCCTTTTCCTCCTACTTGGAAATGCCCACTAAAATAAACACCAAGTCAGTTTAAAACCATAGTATTTAATTTGCTACCATGGTATTATTCAAGGGAAAATGGGATTTCTGTACTTTAGGGGGCTCTAATTTTTATGGATTCACTAAAACTCAGAGGGGGTGTTAATTAAATATTTTAAAATTTAAAATGGGAGGAAAATGAAAAGTCAAACAGTGGGAATACAGGTAGAGAGATTTGACTGGGCAAATGCTGTCTGACAAAATTAGCCTGGCATTTACTTAGGGCTAAGTGGCTCATTAAACACCCTGTGAAATGATTAAGTTGCAAGAAATTGAATTTGACATTTTTAGAAACCTACCCGAAGAAGGATGTTAATTTATAGTCAGAAATCACTTACATATAACATTCTTAAATCCTTCTATCCCACCTCCCCCCACCCCTACAAGTGTTGAGAATCAAGCTTCACACATGCCAAGTAAGCAGTGTACCTCAGAGCTATCCCTACTTCCCCGTTTCTTCCCTCCCTCCCTTCCTCCCTCCCTCCCTCCCTCCCTCCTCTCTTTCTCTTTCTCCTTGCTCTTTCTCTCCTTTCTTAATAGAGTCTGAGAGGGCTGCTTCAAATCCAGACTTGCTAAAGTTTAGATCTGTTTTTCTTACATGGAAGGTCTGGTGTATAGTAGGCACTGCAGGAAGGAAAACTGCATACTAAAGAGGAAAACACTGAGTTTTATCAGAGACTTAGCAAAGCAACTGTTTACACAACAAAGCAAACAGAAATGTCAAAATCGGATATGAAAAGCCCATGATAGGTTTATATGTAAGGCACGGGGCATCAAGATGAACCAGGTTTGTGGTGGTCGCTTACAGCTATGGCCCCTAAAACCCCAGGAAAAGAATATTTTATCTCCTTTGTGCCGTGTGTTCTCTGGGTGAAAGGTTGTGTGAAGCTGAGTACCATACTTGGTAAAGTATTTTCTTAGTTAAGGGTAGTTGGTATCAGGAGAGTGTTGGTAAATCAAAGCAAGGCTGTTAAGAGGTTGTGTTTTAGGGGTTTCAGGCTGTGTCTCTGGGCATAGCTGAGGGCAGAAGCACAGGCTCTTCTGCGGGAAGAGAGTGATGTGCCTGTCTTGCATCAGCCTCTCATTTTCAGAGCCTCGCTGTTGAGTCCTATAGTAGCCCTTGCTGCTGGCAAACAGGTGGAGGTGTTTTCAATCCTTAAGTGAAGGTATGCACACAGCTGTTGACTCAGTGACTGTCCAGATCCTGGAATAACACAACTTTTCACCAACTTGCATGGGTATGGAGTCCTTCAGTGATCTTGTCAAAAGGTGGATTCTGATGCAATAGGCCCAGCTGGTCCAGAGACAAGCCTTCCAGTGATGCTGACATTGCTAGGCCACTTGAAATAGCAGCAAGGGCTTAGGATAAACAGTCATGACAAATCTGGTCTTGTCCGAGGCTGGCTTCTCTGTTAGGCTGCTCTAAGTCTCCACAGATGGGCTCAAGGGTCTCCAAGAATCAACTACAAGCCTCAAGTAAATCTGGATCGTCAATTGCCTTTTTTTCTTCAAGATGGTAGGAATCAAACCCAGTACCTCATACATGCTAGGCAAACAGTCTACTACTTGAGCTACACTCCCGGCAATCAGTGACTTTTCTGAGAGGAGCTGTATGTCTAGAATGGTGAAGGGTTAGTGTGGTGGGGAAAATGTAATGACAAAAGTAATGATAGGCTGGGCGCTGGTGGCTCATGCCTGTAATCCTAGCTACTCAGGAGGCTGAGATCTGAGCATTGTGGTTCAAAGCCGGCCTGGGCAGGAACGTCCATGAGACTCTTATCTCCAATAAACCACTAGAAAACCAGAAGTGCCCTGTGGCTCAAGCGGTAGAGTGCTCGCCTTGAGCTGAAGAGCTGAGGGACAACGCCCAAGCCCAGAGTTCAAGCCCGCCCCACGATCAACCAAAAAAAAAAGATAGATAAGGGGAAGATTTGGTGATATACCAGATGATGCCAACCCTTTGCTTCTCTGCTACCGAGTTCCTTTCCAGCAGAACTTTGACTCATGGGTAGCACCTACGACAAAGATACAAATGTATGCAGGGCTCTGTTTTCCTAACTGAGAGCTCTAACCTAACTGTCAGGCTTGTGACCAATGTAGAAAATCAGCTTCTGTATGATAGTACATACACTCCACAGTTTCTTTCCCCAGTGTATCACACAAAAGAGAATTGTTTAAGGAATAGTTTTTTAGGCAGCTTTCCACTTGGAATGTTTTTAGAAACAAAAACAGAAAAAAACAACTGTGTATGCCAAGGAACAATTTTAGTCTTAGTTTAACACTTCACTTAAGCCTTTCAGATTACATTGTGCATTTCACCAACAATGGAAGCTTTCAGACTTGACATGTCATTAGAAAAAGGAAGAAAAACCTATTCTCATGTAGATAAGAATGATTTATTGATTTGAGATAAATCATTATATAAGCAAATAGTCCATTGAAGCCGAAGATCAAGATTCTTTTTAGCTGGGTATCATGGCTCATGCCTGTAATCCTAGCTACTCAGTAGGCTGAGATCTGAGGGTTATGATTCATAGCCATCCCAAGCAGGAGAGTCCATGAGATTTATCTCCAATTAACTACCAAAAAAGCTGCAAGTGGGGCTGTATCTCCAGTGATAGAGTGCTATCCTTGAGCAAAAATCTCAGGTACAACACTCAGGCCCCAAGTTCAAGCCTTAGGATCAGCACACACGTACACAAAAAGGTGTGTGTATGTGTATGAGTGAGTGTGTGTGTGATATAACTGCCCATATGCCCAATTATAGTGAGGGTAAATTTAAATATTAAGTACAAACTTCAATGTGAACATTAATGACACACCTAAGCAAGTGAATAAGTGGAAAAAAGGTAGAAAGAATATTGTAATTGATTTATTTATGTTGTATGTTTTGTATAATTCGATCTTCAGACATTTATGTACTTTTAGGAAATTTTGATAATGGCAATAAGTAAAATTTTCCCAGAATATACAAGCATGATACTGTCTAATTTTTGCCTTCATCAATAGTTCTCAGCTTTCTGGACATTAGACAAAAGGAGACTTTTGAGTGTGCAACTTGGACATGCCCCTCTGTCTGAGTCCTGGGTGCAAGAAAGGGGTCTGGGCATAAATTACTGTTTTGTGGGGTTTTTTTTTTTCCCTCTCCTCCCCCAAGGTTCCTCAGAGGGTGATTTGAGAAGTTCTTACCACTTGGTGGCAGTGTTGATCTTTGTCTTAATAGCTATGGTTTCTTTCCAGGCCCCAGAAGAGTGTACTTGCTTGCTTTTGCCTCATGTTTTTCTTTTTGACCCTGTTATGATAACTGTTTTTCTTGCCCATTCACAGCTTATGTTTCTCTTTTTTTCTTCAAGATCTCATGACATGGGCAAAACAAGGGGAAAAAAAATCATGTCTCTTTGCTTGGAAGACATGCTTTTAAACAAATTGTTATTTGTTTGTTCTGAGACACTAACTTTTCCTAGTGAGCCCCTGGCACTTAAACAGCCAATCCTTAAACTTTGTGTGAGATCTGGAGCTAAGGCTTACAGTCTGGAGACATTACCTTGACCTCTTGAGAGCAGGCCTAAGGGCTTGGATTGCAAGAGGCACTGGAGTTGGGAGCTTGATGGTATTAGGTGACTGTGACACCCTATGACCACGGTGCCCAGGCTGGCAGGGCTCACTTCCTGAGCACTACTGCCTGTGTGCCCAGAAGACAATGTCCAAAGTGGAAGATCTTGATCTGCCACCTTGAACTTGAATCTGTATGCACTAGAGAGTTGATAAAGTATTTAAAGCCAAGGGAATGTATGCAAGTAGTTGAAAATATTTCTGTGTAAAATCTGTAGGCCTGCCAAAACACTTGTCAGCTTCAAAATGAGGCAGGACAGAGCTGGAGTAAAGGGAAGACCAGCATCTATTCCCCTAGATTAAAAAGTGGAAGGTGGCCCAGGCCCTGTCGGTGCTGACCCTGTGCTTACAGGGCCTCCAGAGTGCACAGTTCCAGCAGGCACGCTGCAGGTGCCTACTGCTCCACTGGCCCAGGACTCAACAGGGTGCTGTGTGCCCCACAGCCCACTCACATCCCTATGGGCAGCTCTTAAAGGGAGGGCTGCCTTAGCTCTGAAGAGGGATTTAGGCAGGAAAGGTTTGCTTTGGTTTCGCTTTAAACAACAAACAGCACCACTGAAATATAATTCACATACTGTACAAATCATTTAGACAATTTCATGTTGTTTTTTAAAGTATAAAATTGTACACTCGCAATTTTATTATATTTTTATGTCCCCAGA